TGTAACAAAGCGATGCAGCAGCGGATATAAAAAGAAGCAAAAAAAAAAAAAAAAATAAGCTCAGATAAAGATAAATTGATTACGTGTATTATCGGTAAAATGTATCGAAAAAGAGATCTATCTCGCTCGATCTGGCGAAAAAAAAGAGTAAAAAAATGTATACAAGAAAATTATTAATCGAGCCGGCGAGGCTATTAATAGTTCGAAATGTATCAATAGCCGCGCGCGCGTTAAAACCTTTTTAGAAATTGCTGATCCCTCGAGTAAGAGAGAGAGAGAGATATACATAACGCTCGCGGTATTATGATATTTATAAAGTATCGATCGATCGATCGCGATATAATCGCGCCAGCGAACGAGTCATAAAAAATTGTAAAGAAATGAAAAAACGACTCTTTATCGTCGAGAGAGCTTAAAAGTCATCGTCGTGTAAGGTCCAAAGAGGAAAATATTATACAGTAACAGTGTGTGTAAACGCGAATTTCGGTGCGGACGTTTTTTTTTTATACTATAATACCGATCGCACAGCTCAAAGATCGAGTACTCATACGTATATATAATGCACGTTAAGCCTCTCTCTCTCTCTCTCTCTCTCTCTTTGTATACGATACTCATTAAATTGTATCTACTCGGAAAGATAGAATATCGCATATTATGTTATATATATGGCTCTTTGGTAAGTTATATTACCGAGGTATAACGTATCTGACACACACTAACACACATGTGTGCAGTGCGCTTACCTCGCTTTATAAACGCGCGCGCGCGAGGCACCCGATATTTTTCTCTGTACCAGCAGAGACTACATTATCATCGTGTGTGCGCTGCGCTGCGCTCACATGTACGTATACGTGAATATAAAAAAAGGGATATATCATTTCTTCGCGCGCTTATCGAATCAATCATTTGCGCGTTTGCCCTTGCATTTTCTCGCCGCTGCACAGGAGCTTGCGTATGTACGCACACACACACACACACGCATACAAAAATACTGACTTGCTTACGTGTGTGTTTCGGTATATATGAAGTACCGAACGCTACGCCGGTGTGTTGCTATATTGCTTCTATATAGCATAAAAAAAATTCAGCCCGATGATGATTATTTGCACGTCATGCAAGCTTCGCGCAGCATTTATATAGCGTGCCCATAGGGAGTGCTGTTGTGTATACTTCACTTTTATATATTAAGTGACTTCGAAACGAGATGGGCCGATACAAAACGCACACGCACACACACTCACACACACACACACACACACACACACAAGATGCGATGGGCAATACAAACGGTGGTGGAGGTGAAGTTGAGAAAATGAAAAAAAAATATTTACGGACTTTTTCAACGAACGCAGGATGATTTGCACTTAGATACTCATCTACAGCAGAACTTCACTCGCTCGCTGTAGCTGCGCTGCTTTGTTCGGCGCAAAACTTCACGAGTCACGATACGATATAATGTCTTCGTTTTTGTATTGGAATATACATTATGTAGCTCTGTATGTAGCTTTTATAGATGATGTGTGTGTTTGTGGATGTGAGTAGTATTATGTATAGCAGGGGTAGTTGAGAGTAGTTGTGCCACGTTGTTGGTAAACAATTTTTCTCTAAACCAAAGCGCTGCATTTGAAATTTACAAAATTAGCTGTCCCGAAGAAAAGAAAAGCCGCACGTATATATATCGCGGCGCGCAGTAATAACGCCGCACGAATACCCTCGTCGCTTATACACACACACACACACACTCAGGCACATGCACAAATTTATACAGAGAGACGCGAGAGCATAAGCGAGAGCCGAGCGCGCGTCCGAAAATAAACCAGTCCTGCAAGCAAGCCGGTTTTTTTCGGGGCCCCGAACGAAACGATCGGCGCACTATGATAATAATTGACGAGAAAGAGAGAGAGAAAAACGAGGCACGAGAGAGAGAGAGAGAGAAACGAGGCACATGAGAGAAAGAGAGAGAAGAGATCGTCGAGCTTGATTTTGGGCTTCGGTGATGGTGCGAAGTATAACTTTGTGCGTTTAAAAAATTTCTCTCTCGTAGCCCACTATGTGTATATGTGTGTACTATGAAGGAGGGAGGCTTTTTATAAGATATAATAAGGATCATAGATTAGCAACGATATGCGCGCAAAAAAAGTTGCAATAAATATTCTCCACGAAGCTCCGAGTTTTTATCTATCGAGCTGAAAAAGAAAACAAAGAAGCCGATCCTTATAAGGCCGTGCGTCGCGTCGCTCGTCGATCGCGCGCGGATCGAAGGAAAGCCGAGCGAGAAAAAAGCCTATATACGCCGCGTGTACGCGCGCGCGAGAAATGTGTGCGCCTACTTTGCGCGCTTCGAAGTGCGATAAAATAATAACAAATCAAATATAATAATTCTCTCTCTCTCTCTCTCTCTCTATTTGCTCGTGGGTTATGATATTGAGCACGAGACCCACAGTAGCCTAATCGGTTAACGATCTTTATATATAATACATGTATTCGCTCAGTTGTGCTCTTTAAACATCGGCGCCGAGGCTCTCTGTGCACACACACACACAGAAAGATTTTCTATATATCGCTCAAACAAAAAAATGAGCGAGTCGCGCGATTTCCAGACTTTTATATTTCTTCGCGCGCTGCATATGTGTGCGATCGTCGAAGCGCAAAGAGAGATGACTATCTCGTTATCGATATCACGGACTTTAACAGCCGAGTCCGAAGACAGAGAGAGAGAGAGAGAGAGAGATCGAGATCTCTCTCGAGTGCCAGCGCAAACGTCTATTCGCGTTCCCGAGTATAGATCGCGTGAAAAGTCTGCTGCCTCGGATGCGTTAATTTTATATACGCACGACCACGCGATATACAACGTAATGCGCGTGAATAGAGGCAGCAGAATTTTTGGGAGCTAAAAAAAAAAAAAAAAATAAGAAGAAAAGAAAATATAAATCATCGGCTTGGCGTCGTCGCATTAAACTTGCGATTTTTCATATGTAACTCGGCCTGTAATAAAGAGAGTGTATATACGTAGGAGCAGCAGCATTCGGAGCTCTCCGAGTCGAGTCCGCGAGATCTAAAAATATGCATTTCGAACCTTTTAATAGAAGGTTAAGAAAACGATTTTAAAAGTCTCGGAGCTCTCTCCTTCTCTCTCGCGCTCGCGCGGCAAAAAGCTCGGCACACTTTATTGAGATAATTCTCTTGACATCTCTCAAGGTAGCCCGGTCGAAGAGCCTGCTCTGCTGTCTCGAGAGAGAGAGAGAGAGAGAGAAGCAGAAACAAGCTCTCTTCTTGTGTGTTGCAGTATATTCGGCCAAAATGAAACTTCTCTCTGCATGTGTATAGGTATATAATATGCTTTTTTTTTAAGAATCGCGTTGCTGCAACACACTGGAGAAGTCGAAAAACGTTTCTCGACGCTCGTCGAGGTAGTAAGTTTTTTGGGTGCAGTTACATAGCAGCAGCGAGGCAGGCAAGCAACGAGTGGCACTTATTACACAGATGGTGACTGCGTTCGACCATATTGCATATATATATGTATACACAGCATAAAACGTATACACGATTGCCGCGCACGACGAACGTGTCATGCGAAATTTCCATGTCGCGTAATAATAACAAAGCGACACGTTTATTAAAGCTGCGGGGGAAAGGCATGACGGCGAGCGGGGTTGTGCGGCCTGCTGACGCTCGACGTGCGCCGTATAGCTCTTTTAGTATATGCTGCTGCTGCTGGGCGCCCCGCGAAATCGAAAGTGACGAGCGCAGTCAGCCCTTATGGAGCTGCTCCTCATCCCCCCCTCCCCCTCTCCCCACTCTTTTTAATTGCGAAAAGGGTTGACGAAAACGAAATGTTTCCGCTGCTCGCAGGCGGCGGCGGCAGTAGCTTTATCGCGAAGGGTATACTACTGCGCGACGCCGCTCTAGGTGAAAAAAAGGAAAGGCAAAAAAAACGAGAGAGAGAGAGAAGGCAACTAAAAGTGAAACAGGGCGCGTATGGAAGAGATGAAAATCGAGCATGAAGCGGAAATAGAATGATTACGGCAGTAGTCGTGGCAGTGGCAGCCAAGCTGCTGCTGCTGCCGTACGTATACTGCTACGTACACGACGAGAGAGTAATATTATTTTTGCTCATTCCCGAAAGTGATGGACTTTTGCGCTTGTGTGCATGTGTGTTTGCGCGCACCGCTGTATTTAATGGCCACCCCTCGCACACACACACACGCGCGCACACTTATTTCATACACGCGGCGCTTGACATCTTTATGGCTCTCTATAGATTCGAATATTCGAATTATGTCCTCGCGCTGCTCTGTGCCGTGCTCGCGAGTACGCGCAGCAGCAGCAGCAGCAGCACATATAATGTAATGCATAAAATTTTATGTGTTTTTGCGAAAGATGAGCGGCAGCGGCAGCGGCAGCACGAGGAGGAATTTCGAGAACGAGTCCGATTTATGCGTATGATTATTTCCATACGAATGACCAAAGGCATATATATCTGTGTGCGCGTAAGTGTGTGCGTGTGTCCCTGTGCTGCACATGGACGCATATACCACTAAAGCTAAAAGCAAGAGAGAGAGAGACGAGTTAGCCATATACACACGAATTCCTGCCCTTCTCGCAAAACCTAATCAATCACCGAAAACGAGTCTCTCTCCTCCTTCGCTCTTTCTCGCTGCGCTCTGCTGTATAACCCTCCCTCTCTCTCTCTCTCTCTCTCTCTCTCTCTCTCTCTCTCTCTCGCTGCTGTAAATGTTCAGACAGCATAAAAAGGGAAGAGAGTAAAGATATTCTCCTTTTTTTTTTCAAAGAGAGAATAAGTACGCGTTGTGTGCGTGTAGGTGTGTGCATCCGCGCATACACGGGCACACGGAGCGTAGTCTCAAAAGCAAGTCAAAATTTTGCAACTTAAGCAGCAGCAGCAGCTACAGAACCAGAAGTAGCCGTATATATATATATATATACCGGAGCAGAGAGGGAGAGAGATAAGCGGCGCGTGAGAGAAGGAAAGCCGCGGGGGAGAAAGACACGAGCGACGCATACATATAGATATATAGGCATCAACAGCAGCAGCAGCAGCAGCAGTAACAGCAGAGAGAAGAAGAAGAGGAAGATTCTGCACTGCTGCTACGCGAGCTGCGACCGGAGTGCAACTCAGCAGCAGTCGGCTAACAGCGGAGTGTCAGTCGGTGGCGCATGCGCAACTCCGGCAAAACGACTCCGACCAACTCTCCGCCGTCACTCCGTTTTCTACCCGGAACGCCGCGCGATGTTCAAGGTCGTACAAAGCCCCAGCGCGCCGAAGCACATACACACATACATTCGTACACTTGCAGCAGCAGCGGCGGCGGCGGCACGTCGATGTGTGGTACGCTTTATGCGCTGGTATAGGTCGTCGTGGGGCTCGTACAACGTATAGATATATAGCTATATATGCATGTAGCAGCTCGCTCACGTATCTATGGATTTTACGCCCTCCTGGCTTGCCAGACTCGTGCCTCGACGCTTTGATGAAGGGGTATGCATAAGCCTCTACTCTTCTCTCTTCTCTCTGTCTCTCTCTCTCTCTCTCGCTCCGCGAGCTCGAGTAATTTATAATGCCAAAGGCTCGTTCATAATTTATCTATATATGCACACACACACACACGTATACAAACGCATACGTATGCAGCACAACGTTATATTGTATGGGAGGATACAAAAACGAGAGCGAGAGAGAAAGACAGACAATCATCATCATCATCATCATCATCATCATTATCATCATTGCTTATTTGGAGAGATGCAATAAAACACGAAGCAAGAAGATGAGGAAAAAAAAGAGGTAGAGAGACGCGAGAGAGATTATGCCGTGTACATTCGTTGTTAGAGCAAGGAAAAAGAATTGAGCTTAATGCAGAAATTGATCATAGAGATCTCTGATACTCGTTCGTCGAGCGAGCGAGGGAGATGAAAAAAAAAACCTAAAGAAGAGAAGAGTAGTGTCGCGCGCGCACGTTTCGTTTCTATATATCTATACGGCGCGTGAACCGTATACAATTGGATTTTATGTTTTTCAAACGAAGCTAAATTGAACGACTCCGAGCAGCGACGATGTGTATTGCTTTTTAGAACGTGTATACACGAGCAGCTCTCGGTGTACACACTAAGCTCGAATTATTTGTCGTAAAAGCTGAGCGTAGCTCGTGCGTTCGTCGACGCCAGCTGCGAATGTCACTCGTGATCTGCACGAAGAATTTTTTTTTTTTTTCGGTCTTACGTAATACACGTACGATGTTTATTCAAATGCAAAGCTCGCGCGTGCGCTCGATCGAGAGGACCCCAGGATCGCGCTGCTTGTAAATTTGGAAAATGTTTCGTTCCGATTTATCGACGCGATGATTATTTGTATACACATCTCACCGTCAAAAAGTTCGTTAAATACGCACTGATCCATGTCAGATATTTTCGCGAGGCCGAGTGTACGTCGACGTGCGCACGTACGCCGGATATTTATTTGAATTATTCTCAAGGGTGCAGCAAAAAGTCGGTTACTCTCATTATTGTCTAAGCGGACGCGTACTCTTTTAGTCGCAAATCTATAGTGGCGACTTTAACGACTTAGAACAGAGGAAATTTGCAGGGAAGAAAAACCGATATTATCGCGTGGTAGGGTGGGAGTTGAAAAAAAAAAAGAAGAAACAAATGTATAAGAAATAAGGTTTTGCATACGAAATATAATAAATCACAAGCCACGGCTGGCGGCTATCTCGTCGAATAGCTGGAGTCTAGCTGTATAGGTAGAGGTTCGTTGAGCTCAGGGCTGGGGCTTGATTTTGCTATATTTTTTCGCATTAGTATACGTCGCGTGCGAGAGAAGAGCCAACGTATGTATGGAAAGTCCTGTTTGCCCTCTCGTGCATACATACAATATGTATAGTACGTATAGCTTTGATGTGTGTATACTTTGTGCGTGCTTTAGAACGCGTAATTATGCATCTAAACAACATTAGGTTTTCCTCTGGGTAACTTTGCAGAATTTGACTAATCGATTTTCTTACGACTTTCAGACGTCACCTACATTCAATATACTTCAAACGACAAAGTATATAGGATCAATGACTCAAAAGCCTTTAATTAACCGGCCAATAATTTCCGAGTCACGTGTGAAAATACGTAAGTTTTTTTTTCGAGTCGTCGGTAGCAAACGAAACATTCTAGAACGTCAATACATAAAAAGCTTCCGATCCGTTGTGTGCACACTTTATCGCTTTCATTGTCACCTAAAATGCGGCGGCCAACGAAATCGAGCGCGGCGTGGTGAATGACGCAGGAGAAAACATTTCCACAGATCTCTTCTGCTTCTGCTGCTGCTGCACTGCTGTGCCGCCTGAATCCAAACTGCAGCGAGCAGCTACTGTGCACAGACTGATTAATTTTTACCTCCGCTTTTTTCTTCTTTTTCTTTTTTTTTTTTTTCAACGATATAGGCGTTGATCTTCGCGGAATGTACTTTCTCTACTGCCGCTGCCGCAGTTGAATTCAAAGGAAACGCCATAAAAAAATCAGGCAGCAGCAGCCGCACACATAACGATTTCGCTTCTTCGCTCGCGGCGCCACACATGCGAGTGCGCAGCGAGCTTTTGAAAAGCCGAGTGAAAATCGCGACCAAAATCGTTCTTCGTATGCGAGCTCGCGCAAAAAGATTCACCGCGCGTAACTATACGCGGCGGTATGCAAAAAAAAGATACTCGATCGCTGTGTGATTTCTTTCCAGCGCATAAAATATGCCGCGCCGTGCGGGCGGGGGTCGAAGCAAGGAGAGAATCGATTTCCTGGTTCCGCGCGCACACGAGCATACACACATACATACGGACTTGTGTTTATTACACATGCATTCCGATTGATAGCTCATCTGCTGCTGCTGCTGCAGCTGCATACAATGCTCTTTGATACATCATCCGAGGCACGTACAAATGAGAGCTATGGGATTGAGATAAAAAGCAGTATTGAATTTTTATACGATTGCTTTTATACTGCTTTTTATTGCATTTATTTAATTTTTTTCAGCTCTTTGGGTCAACACAAAAACGTAATTTGATAGAATTGATTCTTTTTGTAAATGTTGGAAAATCTTTTTTTATGCGATGAGCTTGTAAAGTGCTTCGTGAGTGCACAATATATACACACACTCCGGTGAAAGAGAGATATTATTATGTACATTTTGAAAATGGAAAACGATGCGGTCTATAACTTTTAACGTTTGCGCTCCCATATGCTTGGCTTGATATTTGCACACCAAGTATACGGCTCTTATATTTTACTACACACACACAACTGCCTCTTCTGCACATAGTACATATATAAAATATGAAGATTTAGCCGCGCAGATTTACTTAAATGTTATCGAGGCTCGTTTCCGGCATATATTAACCCGTAATAAAAGCGCCTGCTAAGTATCGACGAACAATTAGATATACGCGCCGGTTAAACGACGTTTGAAACGATAGCCAAGCGGCCGTAAAATATACGATAAGCGCCATCGAAATAAACTTGAGTTAATTAACAACTAACAAAAAAAAACACGAAGTTAAAATAAATAAATATAAATAATGATAAAATTTGATCACGTACTTGCGCGCTCATTTGGCTGGAAAAGTTTCTGTGGCAGTAGAGCTTTACCGTGTGACGCGCTCCACTAATACTCGTCGAAGTGTTTAACGCGCATAAAAAGTTAGTAGCGCAAATTTGAGGGACCGAAACGTCGTCATCTCGTCGCCGCGAACGAGTTTATTCGCTTTTCCGAGTTGTGCACCTCGAGAGTCGTGTGCGTTTGTAAACGAAGAATTTTGTTTTGTTTTTTATTCAAAGCTCAGGATTTACGAAACTCGTCGTGCGCACATCGCAATTAACTTGGATTAAAAAAAAAAAAAAAAATAAGTATATAAACTAAGACCTCTAGCAAATATATACAAGGAGTTGTCGATGACAAGAGCCGAGAAAAAATCCATTCAACTGGCAGTGTGCACACGGAATGAATTATGATTATGTAAGAGCTGGTGTATATAGCTAGAGCTAGACCGAGAGCATCGAATGTATTTTATATCCTAGAGAGAGAGAGAGAGAGAGAGAGACGATGCTGCTGCCTCTATACGTGTCCGAGCTAGTATAATAGAGAAGAGGAGAGCCTTGAAACGAAATACACGTATACGCTTATAATATCGTTAACGTTGCGCTATACGCTTGTATTTATGTACGCGCGTATATATTTATGAAGTAATTCGCACCACGCGGTCACACACGTGCTTTTTCTCTCTCTCTCTCTCTTTACTCACGCGCACACACCATCCAATAATAATGCACGCATCAGCGATCGCGAATTTTTGCGAATCGTTTCATATTTATAATTAATTTTAAAAGGCGCAGACACGTGGAAAAAAAATACTCGAGCCGATATCGCCAGTGTCAAAATACAAAATATATACAGCAGCAGCAGCAGCAGCAGCTTCGATCGTGTATATAAAAGCACACCCTGCATAATATAAAGCTCGTATATGAGAGAACGAGAGAACCTTGAAGCTCTCGCTCACGCATGCACACAGCTTCCTATTAATAATAACAGCGTGATAGCGAACTCTCGAACCTCGAGGATCGATCCGCATAACGTTACACCTATACGTACGTGACATATACGCACGATCATGTGTGTGTGTGTGTGTGTGTGTGTGTTGATACGAGAACGCGGCAATGGGTTTTTATTATATTACGCAATCGACAGTAGCCAATCGGACACGTGCTCTTGCTGTAAAGGATCAAATCGCGCGCACGAAATTCAACAATCGCAAGCCTCACACACAATGCAAGTAATGCGCCTCTGCCCGCGCTAATGCACTCTTGTACAAAGAGAAAAAAAAAGAACCGGGCAATGATGTAATCCTTTTTGAATGCGCTCGGCGCGCAAAGTATTATAAGGCGCGTGTAATGTAGTGCGCTGCCTGCTTCTCAACAGGTGCATTAATCAAGCATCCTTCTTTATACTCTTTATATTCTTTATTATTATTATCATCATCGTCGTCGTCGTTTTTTTTATTTCTGTCTCGCTAGCGATTATACTTTTTTTGTGTATATTTGTATAGTGTGTCACTGACGCGTGTATACACACGCGATCGCAAGAAACGACGATCGTCCCGAAACGAAATACACGTATAATCCATTGTTCGATAGTTATCTGTAACTGCGCGCGCGCGCGCTGGAAAGCACATCAAGGTCGGTTTTTCGTCATTTTCTTGCACAAACTCGAGTACGTACGTACGTACGTACGTACAGAGCCTCGGCCTAACGATTAATAATAATAACGATCTCTCTAGCATCGTCGTCGTACGCCGGAGCCAATCGCTCGAGATATATCCACAACATGGCATTTCTCTCTCCGTCTCTCTCGATTCGATATCGAGAAGCTAATACTTCCTGAAAATCCTCGAGACAAGTCGCGTTACGAGACGCCAAGAGTAAAGAGAGGCATGCATTTATGCATGAAAA